GATCATGTGACATGGGTCTGTCCCTCGTCAAGCAGTTTCTCCCATTTCCAGGTGCTTCAGTGTCCACTCTCTTTCTCTCTCTCTCTCTCTCTCACTCAAATGGCTTTAAGTTCAGTTCCCTTCTCTCCTCCTCTCTTTCTTTCTTTTGGCTCGGTTTCTACCTCTCAGATCTTTCATCGTTTCATCACAAGTAGCCGCTGGTTCTCTGAGCCCTCCTCAGATTTCCTCTCCTTCTTCGCCTCCTCCTCCTCTTTTCTCTCTCCCCTCTTTATCCATTTGCTCTTATCACTGCTTTTTCTTCCTTCTCTTGCTTTTGTTTTACTGTGACCCCCCTGTGTGTCCTGATTTGGCCGTCAGTCACCCCTCCTTATCAGTAGAAGTCAGCTAGTCTTCCCTTCATACAGCATGTCTGTATGGATTCAGAGGGGTGCCACAGTAGGTGGTACAGTCCCAGTTAGCATCTCTGTGTAATGGCGGCTCTGTTCACTAGGGGGATGGTAGTCTCTAAAGAGCCAATCAGTCACTGGTCTCCCAATCACAGAGCTTACAAAGAGCACTGCAGGGGATGCAGGGCTCAATCCAAGGTTAGAGGAAGGAAGAGTATTGACGCCACTGGGAACAGGCACCATTAGGGCCGCCTCAAAAGGGTCATTTAATCTCCCAGGTTGTGTCTGAAATGGCACCCTATTCCCCACACAGTGCACTACAGGGCTCTGGTCAAAAGTAGTGCATTATATAGGGAATGTCAGACTCAGCCCAAGACTCTCCTAATCTTATCCTTGACCTTTAAGATGCCCCCGCCCACAACACCGTTACACATCAGTCTTGACTAGTACCCTTTACTGTCTATTTCCTTGGATAAATAGACATGTAGGTTATTATAGATTGAAGGGATTAACCTCTGTAGCAATGCCATTAACTCCTTTATGGCCCCATATCCATCTGCCTGGATGTGGCTTTTCATTGACATTCATTGTTCCTGTATGTCTTGTTTTTCCCTCAACCGACCGACCACAATTTTGATACTCCCTGCCTGGTAGCTATAGCGAACCCTCCTCCTCCTCTTCCTCCTTCTCTTCCTCCTACACCTCTTGATCCACCTTGTTGTTGTTGTTTTTGACCCACATTTACCTCCGTTCCTCCCAGTGACCATGTGACCTAGAGACTCCTCCTCTTCCTCCCTCTATCCTCGCTTCAACTCTACTGCTATTTATGATTACCTCTATATCCTAATTTGGATTAATTAACAATACTCTTAGATTGTGTTGCCCCTTGTCCCTTTGTTAATTAATTAATCCTCATTGATTGATTCATTGATTGGTTGATTGATTGACAGATTATGGTGACGTGCGTCTCTGCTGTTGTTTTCAGGAGCTGGTCTGTGAATGTCAGTCGGACTGACGGACACTCAGTCTGACTGACGGACACTCAGTCTGACTGACGGACACTCAGTCTAGCTAGAGAGACAGACAGACAGACAAACTGACTGTAGTGTCTTCTCCCTCACTCCATCGCTCCCTTCTCCTATCTGTAGTCTGGGTGTTAATAGACTTACATATTCCTTTCCTTTATTACTATTGACATGTGAATTGACTGAATATGTGTCGACCATCTTTCTGCCACCTATCAAGTCCTTTTTAATCAGTGATCATGAAGGACAGGAGACAGGGAAAGGAAGCTACAGTATATAAGACCTGGTACACAGAATAAAGGAGGGGGAGTATCCCTCACACCTACACTCTTAGAAAGAAAGGTGCAATCTAGAACCTAAAAGGGTTTTTCGGCTGTCCCCATAGGAGAACCCTTTGAAGAACTATTTTGGTTCCAGGTAGATCCCTTTTGGGTTCCATCTTGAACCCATCCCACAGAGGGTTCTACCTGGAACCAAAAAGGGTTCTCCTATGGGGAGAGCCGAAGAACCCCTTTGGAACGCTTTTTTGTAAGAGTGGAGACACATTTATTTACCATTGATTTAGTGTCTCTGTCGGCGAATGAGGATGGAGGGAGGGAGAGAGAGAGAGAGAGAGAGAGAGAGAGAGAGAAAGAGAGAGAGGGAGAGAGACAGGGAGAGAGAGAGAGGGAGAGAGGAGCAGTCGCTATAGAGACAGGCAGTAGCTCCTCATTAGGAATGACCCACCACACACAAACGCCTAGTCACGTGACCCACTGCACTCAGACATTCTATTCAGCAGGCAAGGAGAGAGGAGAGTGAAGGAGAGAGGGAGAGGAGAGCGATGGGGAGGGAGAGAAAGAGGGGGAGGAGAGGGAGAGGAGAGAGATAGGGAACTGACTGACTGACTGTACATTGAGAAGTCATTACATTGTTAAAGCTAAAGAGCTCTGGCACAGGCAGGTGGCCATGAATAGAAATAAGTCTGGACTCAGACGGGCCTTTATGGACAGATAGAACACACAGATAGAACACACCGCCAGATGACTGGACAGCCCTCACTGGGGAAGGAAGGGATGGAGAAAGAGAGAGGAGAGGGATGAAGAGAGTCAGAAACTGGCTGGGTGCTGGCTTCACTAGACCGCTACAGTAGCTCAGCAGGGTTGGGGTCAATTCTGTTTTAATTTAGTCAATTCAGGATGTAAACTGAAAATCCAATTTCACTTTTCCTTACAATGAAAAGCAATTAGGAAAATTGGAATTGGAATTTCCGTTGACTTCCTGAATTGACTGAATTGAAATGGAATTGACCCAGCCAACAACCCTGGAGCTCTATACCCACTGCCTGCCACCTGAGTCCCTGTCGTCATGGCCTGTCATAGTGTCACTCCAGTGCTGTACCTGTACCTGCAGGCAGTGTCCTGTGTACTGTAGCTCTGAAGCTCTGTCAGTAGGACCACCTGTGCTGCCACTCAGTGTGTCAGCTCACCTCTCACAGAGATAAGACGTTTCAATGGCCACTTTCTCTCTCTACCCAGGCCCTGCTGCCCTGCTATTGGTCTCAGTGAAGGGGTTTGTCTTGAAGTGAACATGACGGTTGATAAAAGTGCCAGCCCCTTCCTTCTGTCTGTACAGTGTGTGTGTGTGGTGTGTGGGTATGTGTGTATGAGTGTCTGTGTGTGTAGGTTTGTGTGTGTCGGTGTAGGTGTGTGTGTGTGTATTTGTGAGTTAGTATTCTGTTTTGACCACCATGCCTTGACCCCCTTGCTGTCCAAAAGGAACAGGACACAATCTGGGACTCCCACCTCGCTCTCTCTCTTTCTCTCACTCCTCCACAAAATTAACTCACTCCCTCTCTTATTCTCATTTCACAGGAAATAACCTATTGACTTCTCTGACTCCGTTTCTCTCTCTCTCTTCTTTTTTACACACACAAAATACACTCTCACGCTGTCCTTTACTCTTCTCCTTCTTCCTCCTCTCTCTCTCTGTCGCTTGCTATCTCTCAAGCACACCTACAGGCACGCACGCACACACACCAACATGCTCACGGGTGACGACACACACGCACCTGCACCCTACACCCTACACACACACACACACTCACAGATGTACTCTTACTTCCAGACGATTAAGTGCCCATGCTGAAGGAGGGGTTTCATGGCGCTCCATTGTGCCCCCTGCTGGTTGCTGGCTGCAGTTACCTGCCAGGAACAGGTGTGGGATTCAATTAGAACAGCAGGCTCTCAGTGGCCAGGCCAGGTCTGTCAAGGGGCTACTTGGTCCTGTTCATTAGGCACCAAACTGAAGAAAACAGACTGAAACAGGGAGGGACTACCTGGACTTGTCCAATGAGAAACGGTCATTTTTGGTTTCCGTTGCCACACTTTTTAAAACTATGTGTGTCCTAATGACCATGACCCTGGGCTAGGCAGGCTGTACATCACCTCCCCATAACCAGTCTGTGGGATACTCTAGGACTAATCTCTCCAGACAGACTGCCGTACATAGATAACCCAAGATCTATACTCTACTGTAGGAGAGACCTGGTCAGGTCTGGGCTATGCTAGGCTGGGTCTTAGCTCCCCATAACAACCATATCAACCCATGGCCTCACATTACATCAACAACAAGAAGACAGCCATTTTAGAAACACGTACAGTCTCCATTGAGATATCTCTATATCTCATTACATCTCTATACCCCTTATGATCACAGTAGAATGATATGATTGCTTTATTATAATACAGAATGTAATGACAGATTTTATATGAAGATAACCATTAGAAACATATTCCCCAGCAGTCGCTGGATTAAAATGATTTTCCCACAATGGCACGCAGTATGATCTCAGCAAGCTGTCAATGCTTCGATCTAATTCTATATCGCCAATCAAACGTTCATTATTATTCCGAACAAGGTAGTAAGGTACAGTATCTGTCATTTCAATGGAGATTCTGTTCCTTTCATCATATTCATGCCACAGCCTCAAATTGATGAGAAACAGTCACTGCTGACCTATTGTATTGTGCCGGGAAATGGAACAACAGCAGATAAATTAATTTCGTATTATTTTTCCATGGCAGTATTTTGCTGTAAATCTCACTGATACAGGAAAATTGGCACGTTAGTGTATACAGTAGAAGACATAGTGCCCGTCCCAAATTACAACCCTATTCCCTATATAGTGCACTACTTTAGTGCACATTATAGGGAATAGGGTGCCATTTGGGATGCATGCCTGTACATAGCAGATAAAACCATGAAGGTTGGTTATTAATCCTTGATAAGGTAAGTTGTATTACAGTACAGTAGGTTTGGTTATACTGGCTAGTGGTGTGGCTCCATTGGACCGTGACTGCTCTGATCGTGCCGGACCAGATTTCCATGGCTCCTAAAAATGTATTTAATCTAATCTCACAATCTCAACTAATCCCAGAAGCTCAATTTGACTCAGGCTAACCTGTTCTAGGCCAGACTAGGATAATACCTAGTACGATCCCTAATATCCCATCCCTAATACCTCATATCCCATCCCTAATACCTAATACCTAATTCAAATAGTGCTGGTCCTAATAATAATAGGCTGTGTGGTAGTGTGTGTTAGCAGGGTGTGGCTGCCTGGGAGGTCAGGCTGTCCATACAGAGAGAGAATAAACAGGAAGAGGGCATGCTGGCTGAAAGAACAGGTCAGAGTTAATGAAGCCTCCCAGGCAGGGTGCGGAGCGGAGCGGCTCCCTCTGTTTTTGTGTGCGTGTGAGTGAGTGAACCTGTCTCTCTTTATTTTCTCTGGTCTGTGTGTGTCAGTGGCAGCTCAGTGTGACCGCCAGGGAGGCCAGTCCAGTGATGAGCCCTGCTGACACCCGGCCCTGCCAGCCCACCCAACACCCAGCTAATTAGAATAAGCAGAGCCAGAGAGCCATGTTAGAGTTACTATCTGCAGACTGTAGAGGGACAGAGAGAATAACAGGAAAAAACACATAGGAGTAGCCCTTACTGTTTGCTGCAATACCCTGTTATACAGTAATGCTGACTATGGTACTGTATAGTGTGAAGCCGATTCAGGGTAGTGGTGCTGTCAATTTATTATTGAGATGAATGATTTGACCCATGAATATCTGTTAAACCTCTTGTGATTCATCGTAGATAGAGAACTCAATTGGGCCAGTAACCAAAAGGTTGCTGGATCGAATCCCCGAGCTGACAAGGTAAAAATCTGTTGTTCTGCCCGAGCAAGGCAGTTAACCCACTGTTCCCCGGGCACCGAAGACGTGGATGTCGATTAAGGCAGCCTCCAGCACCTCTCTGATTCAGAGGGGTTGGGTTAAATGCGGAAGACACATTTCAGTTGAATGCATTCAGTTGTACAACTAACCAGGTATCCCCTTTCCCTTCCTTTCCCAATATGAATACAAGTCAGCATTGTGGATTAGAGGTAGCCCTTGACAGTACACTGCACTAGCTATTAGTGTTTTATTACCTAGCACTCTGTAATCCAAGGCTGGTCTGTACAGTACTCATGGACTCTTTGCGGATATAGACTCCCACCATACACTTTTTGGTTGTTTTGGTGTAAATGCAGGTCGTCCATTTGTCTGCATGTCCGTCCGTATGTCCTGTATTGTGTGCGTGACTAGAGACAGGACAGTAGCACGCCTGTGCTGGTCTGTCCTTTATCCTACCTTGAGGCAGGAGGATGTTCTGTCTTTGTTTATGGGTCACCTACATGGAGCTGTTTGTTCTGCCTGCTCTTCATTTCTCTACTCCTCTTTACTTTGATGCTTTTGTTGCAGTGTCCCAATTGTGTTAGTTGGGGTTTTTCCATCCTCATCACAGTTTTGTCAATAGTATAGTTCATTCAGCCATTTATCCCTGAGCTAGTTTTGTTGGATGTTTTATAGGATTGCAGGAAATGTTATAAAAATAGAGATAAAGAAAATGGAAGTATACCTGACAAAGTCACTATTGATGAGGACTAGAAATAGATTCAAATTACACATTCACACTTGAGGGTTCCCCAAAACCAGTGGGCTGTACCAATGTTAATATGTTCAACTCTACGGGGGTGCCACTGCCTACGTTAATAACTCTAATAACTATGGGGCTCCCCAGCACGCTAGAACACCCCTGCTACTGGAACAATTCTTAGATCAACCACTGTAGCTCCTCGGCTGCTTGTTTTAACAATGGAGCATGACAGTCCCTTTGTGAAGCACCTCTATTCAATGTGTGTTTGTTTCCGCCCAGGCTTGATTTGATTCATGTTTTGACGTAAGATATTCATCCCTGCTGAGTCCCCTCAGACACAACAACAGTATCATCACTGAGGCACAGCACACAGCCACACACTTCTCAGAGAATAACACTTCCCACTGGGCACAGACGTCAATTCAACATCTATTCTACGTTGGTTCAACGTAATTTCATTGAAATGACCTGGAAACAACGTAGATTCAACCAGTGTAGGAAGAGAGGCATAGAGACACATAACAAATTGCTACTACTATTGTGAGCAGCACACATTTCCTCAAACCATAAAAGAGAGAGGCACATAAAGGAACAAAAACCCATTTTCCCCAAACGTTCCATTCTCAGAAATGCTTCTCCTACGGTATGCAGCATTTCCAAGGATGGAGCATCCTAGGCTTAGTTCCATCCTAGTAAATCTGACAGCAATGTTTGTGTATGTGCATGTGTGTGTGTGTGTTGACTATGTCTAAACGCCCCTGCAGTGACCAATTAGACCACGGGTCCGTTCAGTCATAACGTGACCAGTGTGAGTCTGCTCTGTGAGGCTGTTTCCTGTCCTCTGTTCTCAACACACTGACTGGCTGGGCTGCTGGGGCCAGGACTCATCAATAACTTAGTATCCAGAGAAGACAGGGAGTCCTCTGTTCGGCACTTTCATTCTGTAGTGTCCCTGTACTGTCCCTGTAGTGTCCCTGTACTGTCCCTGTAGTATCCCTGTAGTGTCCCCCATCGCTCTGACGTGCCCACGGAGTCTCCTGTGATGTCACCGTGTGACCGTGCTAATGATGCCAGCAGCTTTTTTCCATAGATCCCCCTCCCAACCACCCTCCTCCGCCCAGTTCCCCTCCCGGCCCACCTGACAGTCCTCTGGTCCCAGGGCAGACACTATCTGGCTGAGAGAGAAAGTGCGTCAGCCAGCCAATTTACAGCAGTCCCCAGTGGGTGACCTCCAGGAGAGAGCTATGAGACACAGGAAGGGGAGGAAGGAGGGGAGGAGGCAGAATGTGTGTGTGTGTGTGTGTCAGGGGAGGGGGGAGTGTTGTTGGTGCGTGTGCGTGCGGCGGGTGTGTGTGTGTCCGTGTGTGTGTTTTGTGGGGTGTGGGGGTGTGTGTGTGTGGGGGGAAAATGGATTGCAAAACAGAAGAAGGGGACCCTGGCCAGACTCTTATTTTCTACCCCAGACTGTTTCCCTGGGTTACTCTTGGGTGAAAATCCCAAAACCCCCTGTACTTATAAAAAACTCCCAAAAATCATACTGTTTTTCCTTTTCCACAGAGCAGGAAAAACTGACTTCTTCAATGTAAAATGGGCCAAAAAAAGTAGGCCAAGAAATCAATAAAACCCATCTGGGGGCCCGCAGCTAGGGAATTTACCTAAACCCCCCGGCAGCCCATTAAGCCTCAAAGGGATATTTAAAAAAATGGCTTTTTGGGGGGGAAACCTCAGGAAAAGAAAAGGAACCCCCCCAAAAAAACCCCTCCCTTTTTTTCTTTTTTTTCTTTTCTCCTTCTTTTCCTTTTTTTTTTCCTCTTTTCCCTCTCTTCCTTCCCCCCATTTCCCCTCCTTTCCCTCTTCCTTTTTCCACCGTCTCTCCCCAGACGCTATCCTTTCTCATCTCTATCTCGTTTCTCTTTTCCCCCTCTTCTTTTGTATTTCTTTGTCTCCCGATCAAATCTCAAACTTTTAGCTTGAACATCTCCCCGCCTTTCCAACAAGAAGATCAGCCGAACCAGCTTGTCCCCACTCTCTCTTCCTCAGGCGGCTCTTTCCTTCCCCAGATCATCCTTGATTACTCCTTTATCTTACTATGCTCCATACCGTATCCTCATCATCTACCACTCTTACTTTCTATCAGTTATCTCTCTATCTACTCTCTCTCTCTCTCTCTCTCTCTCTCTCTCTTCTCCTCTCTTCTTCTAGATTCTCTCCCTCTCTTCTCTTTCCACTCTCCTCCAGTCTTTGTGTGTCCGGGCACACTGCTGCGGGTGCAGGCGGCCAGCTCGCTGCAGGAGGCGGAGCATCAGTCGGGGGCGTGGTGTAAGGACCCCCTGCAGTCAGGTGACCGGCTCTATGTCATGCCTTGGACTCCCTACCGCACCGACATGCTGTATGAGTACGCCTCATGGGATGACTTCAGACAGAACCGCGCCACCACCACCTACAAGTGAGCACCGCGACCCCCCCCCCCCCCCCCCCCCCCCGCCAGTTCACATCAAATAATCCCTCTGCCTCTGCATTGATTTATTTGAATACTGCTGTAGATGGATGGTGAATGGCAGTGTGGGTTCCAATGGGGCCCTGTGGTGATCTGTGGACCACTGGAGGGGCACCTCAGGGGTCGGTGTGAAGTCCAATTAATTTAGTGAAATAAATGTTTTTTCTTGTGCTCCATGGGATTGAGAAGTATGAGAACCACTGGTATAATGTATGTGGTCATACTGTTGGTCTCTTTGGATATGTGCTTATGGGTTGAGCCGGTCACAGCCCAAAAGCTCATTGGTTATTGCTTCTCTTGTTATATTCTGACCACCCACTTCTTCCCCTCCTATAGGTTGCCGAACCGTGTTGACGGCACAGGCTTCGTGGTGTACGATGGCGCCGTGTTCTACAATAAGGAGCGCACACGCAACATGGTCAAGTATGACCTGCGCACACGCATCAAAAGCGGCGAGGCCATTATCGCCAACGCCAACTACCACGACACATCGCCCTACCGCTGGGGTGGGAAGAGCGATATCGACCTGGCGGTGGACGAGAACGGGCTGTGGGTCATCTATGCCACCGAGTCCAACAACGGACGACTGGTGGTCAGCCAGGTGGGTGGAGGAGAGGAGAGGAGGATGATGGGAATAGAAGAGGGAGGAGAGTAAGAGGGTGATGGAGGTGGAGTGGACATTTCTAAGCTCAACTAAAGTCGGCCTAATTGATTTGTTTGTATATTTGAGGAGAGAAAAGGTCATAAATACACTTTTTTGTGTTTATCACCATAACACCAGGATGGAAAGTTTAAGAATCGGTGATATTCTACAGTTTCTTCTGTAGTTTGAGTATGGTTACCTTCATCCCCTCCCTCCTCCTCCCAGGTGAACCCGTACACCCTGCGCTTTGAGGGCACTTGGGAGACCAGCTTCGACAAGCGGCTGGCGTCCAACGCCTTCATGGCGTGCGGCGTGCTCTACGCCGTGCGGAGCGTCTACCAGGACGACGACAGTGAGGCCGGCGGGGACCTGATCCTTTACGCCTACAACACTAACCGTGCCCGGGAGGAGCCCGTCCACATCCCCTTCCCTAACCCCTACCAGTACGTCTCCTCCGTGGACTATAACCCCAGAGACAACCAGCTCTACATCTGGAACAACTATAATGTTCTGAGATACCCACTGGAGTTCGGACCACCGGACCCCACCACTGGTGAGTCAACGCATAGAGTCTTGAGATGTGTGTGTACAGTGTACCTTTATTTCTGGTATAACTTGTCCATTGATGTCAGTTGTAGTGGGATATTTGCACAAATGCAAAACACCACCTGTTCGCCCACTTGTACTTGCCTTGCATTTTCAGATGAATTATCCATTGTGTTTTGGGTGAATATTTTAGCTACGCAGCCTAGGAGAGAGAGAGAGGAGAGAGAGAGGAGAGAGAGAGAGAGCAGAGAGAGAGAGAGAGAGGAGGAGAGAGATGAGACGAGAGAGAGAGAGAGAGATGAGGAGAGAGAGAGAGAAGAGAGATGAGAGAGAGGGAGAGAGAGAGAGAGAAGAGAGAGTCTTGAGAGAGTGATGGTAGAGGAGAGGGAGTGGAGAGAGGATGAGAGAGAGAGAGGGAGAGAGAGAGAGAGAGAGAGAAGAGAGAGGAGAGAGAGAGAGAGTAAGAATTCTGTTACAGATGAGACAGGATCAGTGTTAATCCATTCCATTTTGTTGGTTACTTGCGTGAGAGTGGAGGTCTGTCTATTGCTCTCTCTCTCTTTGTCTCTCTCTCTCTCTCTTGTTCTCTCTCTCCCTTCTCTCTCTCTCCTTCTCTCTCTCTCTCTCTCTCTCTCATCTCTGTCTCTGTCTTGTCTCTCTCTCTTATTCTCTCTCGCTCTCTCTCTCTCTCCCCGCTCTCTCTGGAGAGGGTAGCTGATAGGAAACACTAAAGGGTAATATATAGATATATTAAAGCTTTGATATACTCAAAAGTAGTTTGTGCCATAATTATTATCCTGAAAACTTTTGAACTGAACTTCTGAGAGATATGCAACATTTATGTGCCTTTCTCTCTTTTCTTCATGCTCTGTTTTTGTCTTTGACTTTCTCTATTCCCCTCTCCCAACTTTCATTCTATCTGTTTTATTTTATTTCCCTTTTTTTTGTCTCTCACTCTTTTTCTATTTGAATCTTTGACTTTATTTTGTCATCCTCAATTATTTGATTTATAAATGTGCTTTATTGTGTGTTTTTAAACTAAACTAAATCAATCCCCCCCCCCACGTATCTCTCTCTTTCAGGCCCTCTGACGACCACTCAGGTGACCAGCACCACTCCAGCCCGACCCTTCACCTCCAGTTCTAGTCCTGCTACCACCCGCCCCCTGGCCCCCACCTCTCACCCCATTGGCGCTATCAACAAGGGCCCTGACCTGCGGCCAATCACAGCTACCGTACCAGTCACCAAGCGGCCACCCCGCCCGCCCGTCCATGGCCCGGAGCCCCAAGTGTGTGAGTCCAGAGTGGCCAGAGGGGTGCAGTGGCCCTCCACCCAGAGAGGAGAGACTGTGGACCGCCCCTGTCCTAAAGGATCACTAGGTGAGGATTGACCTGCTCAGCGGGACTATCACTGTGTGTTTCCTATGTATCCGTGTGTGGTTATTTGAATTGGTGTGTGTGGTTGTGCGTGTGTGTGTGGGGGGGGGGGGGGGGGGGGGGGGGGGGGGGTTTGTTAGTTTTTGTACGCGCTCACGTACACATGTGAATACACATTCATATGTGTGTGTGTATTTCTGCGTGTGTGAGTGCACATGTGGGTGTTTTCCAGTGTCTCTCTGTTTCAGTGTGTGTGTATGTGTGTTTGTGCTACAGCTCTTGTTTTTCCCCTGGCTGGCTGTGTTGTCTCCCCCTCTCCTCTCCTGTCCCAGTGTTGGTCTCAGCAGCAGGGTCCCAGAGGACTCCCTCTACATGAAAGCCCGTCCTTCTCTCTTCGCCTCTCCAAATGAAAGAGTCGTCTCACAGCGGAACAGGGATAGCCAAGTGAAAGTGTGGAATAATGAAATGAAAGACTGAACAAAACAGGATACATCTCCCTTCATGCTAGCTTCTATAACTCCAAACATGCAAGCATAAAATATCCCTCTCTAGTTCTAGAAAATAATACAATATATTTTACCACCACTTCCCCTCCATCTCTTTTTGCTTTTCTGTGTTCTCTCTCTCTCTCTCTCTCTCTCTCTCTCTCTCTCTCTCTCTCTCTCTCTCTCTCTCTCTCTCCCCCCCCCCCCCTCTCTCTCTCTCTCTCTCATCTCTGACAACAACAGTAACGCTAAATTAACAGCTGGCTTAATTGCCATGTCTTGGCAGAGCTTTCAAACCCAATCTGCGCTAGATGGAGGAGAGGAGGGAGAGAGGGAGGAGAGGAGAGAGGGAAAGGAGGGCACATGAAATGCAACGCCACGTCTGCTCTGATTCCTCTCCTTCTTTTGTCTCCCTCTCTCCCTCTTTTCTCTCTCCCTCCCTCTCTCTTCTCCCCTCTCTTCTGTTGTTCCCTGTTTGGAGCTGTTTGTGTAACGGCAGTGGAAAGACCCTTCCCTGGTTGATCCCAGTGTGTTGTCCTCTCTCTGAACTCGCCTAACTAAACAGAAAACTTAGCTGAAAACGAGGGGTGGTGGGAGGTCCCTCCCTCGAGGTGTTATTCTCGCAGATGAGAGACGATGCCTGATGGCGCCGTCTTTGGTGTGTGTGTGAGTGGAGGGGTGTGTGTGTGTGTGGGGGGGGGGGCTGTATGTTTGTGTGTGTGTGTGTGTAGCGCACGTTTGTGTGAATTTGTGTTCCTTTAAAGCCATGTACTTATAGCCAACTCATTTGAAAGCTACCCCTCCCTCCCTTCTCCTTCTTTCTCTTTCTGTCCTACACATTATTTCATCTTTCCACTTCTGCCCCATTTTCTCTCACACATTTCCTCCTCCCTCCTCCCTCTCTTTTCTCTCCTCCGCCGAACCACTCAAAGTATTGCATATTTAAAGTTAATTTCATTTTCTCTTTTTTATCTATCGTACTCTTTGCACTTTTCTTTTTGTCTTTAAAATCTATTTCTCTGTAATTGCCCAATACCTAATGCTTATTATCTCTCCATCCCTCTCTTCCTCCCTGGCCCTCCCAGGCATCGCCTCGTTCCAGTGCTTGGCGGCTCCGGTCATGTGGAACCCTCGGGGCCCTGACCTCAGTAACTGCACCTCTCCCTGGGTCAACCAGGTAGCCCAGAAGGTAAGACCTCCACCTCTACTAGTCCCTCTGTTGGGGGCCTCTGGCCCTGCCTCTGGCCCTGGGTGTCTGTGTCCATATGCACATTGCCATTAGCATGTCTCCAAGGCTCTCCTGATTAAAACCCATCACCACCATATCACTAAGGTTTTCACTCATTAGAATGACTCATTTCAACTACATCCATATTCAAATGCATCCACTCTTCATCCTCCATTTTCTATAGTTAGTCATTCACCCTATGGAAGGCCAGTATGGTCAAAATAATGAAAATACGTCTATTTTTATTGAGTATATTTAAAGTATATTTAAAGATAATGGAATTACAATAATTTTTATTGAGTCTACTCCGCACCCTCAACTTACCACTGTCAACCAGCAACCCCCAACACACACTCCTCAGTGTAGTACCTAGTAGTGGAAATGTGTGTGTCTCTCTGTGTGTAGATAAAGAGTGGTGAGAATGCCGCCAACATAGCTGGGGAGTTGGTGAACCACACACGGGGGCGGATCCACGCTGGTGATGTCAGCTCGTCAGTGCGTCTGCTGGAACAGCTGCTGGACATACTGGATGCCCAGCTTCAGGCCCTGCGGCCCGGCAACAAGGAGTCAGCCGCACGCAACTACAACAAGGTAGAAGACACACACATGTGCAGACACACACCACAAACATACAGATATACACGCACACACACACACATACACACACACACATTCACACTTAAACACACAGACATATTCACACACACTCACAGACAAACTGAACTGGGTGTTTAAAAATGCACGCTAACAGACCCATAGTGTATAGAATCCCTCTAGACTTGCAGTTTGTCATTGACATTGTCTTGGTATTACAGTACAGTATAGAAGTGTACAGTAATTCTATTGTCCTCCCTCCTCTCAGCTCCAGAAGAGAGAGCGGACCTGTCGGGCTTACATCCAGGTAACTTTCCCCTTTAATCCCAACACTTTAAATGGGGACAATATCTTCTAGCCTACCAGTGTACTGACTACGGAGAATCATGTGGGAAAGATAACCACTAGCCTATAGTATATGTGTGTACTGTATAGGATTTCTTTAGGCTGAGATATATCATGTCATGTGTTTATAATCATTCTAGTTGCTGGTGGAGCGCAGTGCAAGTGGTGTGGTGTGTGTGTGTGTGGTGTGTGTGTGTGTGTGTGTGTGTGTGTGTGTGTGTGTGTGTGTGTGTGTGTGTGGTGTGTGTGTGTGTGTGTGTGTGTGTGTGTGTGTGTGTGTGTGTGTGTGTGTGTGTGTGTGGTGAGTGAGTGTGTGCATGCACTGTATGGCTGATATCTCTCTGTGGATGCTTCATTGAAATGTTGTTGTAATATTTCCTCAGGCTGCTAGTTGCTTTGTAGTGTTCCTCATGTTCATAGTATATCTCTGAAATGTGGGTCGGAGTAATAGAAGAGAAGTAATGTTTTTGTGACATATTTCGGCTAGGTTTCACTGTAATGTTACTATGGCTGTATGAGCCTTGGCTGTGTATGGTTCAGTATAGTGTGATATATCTGGCTATGTGTAAGCGGTAATTTGATAGTATGAAATGATCCTGTGTGTGATATCATAGTATGTATGATGTATTTCTACATATGAATGATTTATTTTATTCTGCAGCATATGTGTTCCTTGACCTGTCTGTTGTGCATTGGAATAAAATACATACAGTGGTCGATCAATGCAAAGTATGCTGTGTTGTAGTGTGTAACTAGACCGCCCTTTTTTAGCATTGGTTGTACTGTAGCTTATGAAGCAACATAGGTGTAATACACTATATGGTAAATATATATAGAATGCTTTTAATAGGTTTAGTGTAAGGGAAAATGTATGGTGATTGTGTAAAGAGCAGAGAAGTGTAACTGTAATTCTCTCCCTTCCACTGTAAAATGGAGAATAATCATTTGACCCTGCACGTGTCATATAGGCCTGTATAGTACAAGAGAATCACACAATGAATCAAACATGTAGGCTTGTATAGTACAAGAGAATCACACAATGAATCAAACATACAGGCCTGTATAGTGCAAGAGAATCACACGATGTATCAAACATGTAGGCTTGTATAGTACAAGAGAATCACACAATGAATCAAACATACAGGCCTCTGTTATAAATTGGATAACAGGTCAACCGTCTACTATAAGAGTAGAGCAGCAGTTAATGTATTGTACAGCAGTAGCATGTGTAATGTAATGCAGTGTAATACAGAAGTGTTAACCTTAGCGCCCCCTCTGTGTTGCCAGGCGGTAGTGCAGACAGTGGACAACCTGCTGCGTACAGAGGCTCTGGAGTCATGGCAGGACATGAACACTACGGAGCAGGCCCACACCGCCACCATGCTATTGGACGTCCTGGAGAAAGGAGCCTTCCTATTGGCCAACAACATGTACGGCAACCTCTTCACTGACCGGGCACCCAATATTGGTAAGAAACAGGGGGAAATGGAAGCAGTGGGGTGCATGCATGTGTGTGATTAGTAATTGTAATTACTAGCAATAGTAATTACAGTAGATGTGTGGATAGGTGTAGAGCGGGGCATGCTCAATATCCTGGCAAAGCAGAATAACTCTAACCCTTTGTTCCCACGTGCCTGTGTGTGTATCTTAGATCTGGAGGTGCACGTGTTGAACACAGAAATGGACCTGCAGGACTTGTCCTTTCCTCAGAACTACGTGAGCGACAGCACCATCCAGCTCTCTGCCTCCACCATCAAACAGTACAGCCGCAATGGTCAGTAACCTTATCACGGTCATCACATCACAGTCAAATCCTACAGCGCTCCGGTCACTTCATGACCTGATATATGGGCTCGGGGATCTCCCGGTCAATGCGAGTCTAAAGTAATCTGCATGCGGTTGACCAAGTTATTGGTTCATAATAACAGGCCAATCAGATTAATAAAAGCGCTGAGACCATTTCTTCCTTGATGGTTTCCTAACAGCGCTCCTAATAGAATAGCTGGAGAGGCGTGTAAATGACTATCACCCACAGCCTGACAGAGCAATCTCAGCTCTCTCTCTCTCTCCCTCGCTCTGTCTCTCCACCATCTTATCCCCCTCTCTCATCTCTTCTTCCGCTTCAAGCCCCCCCCCCTCCCTCCCTCCATTCCTCCTCTCGATCTTGAATGCTGAGGGAATGTTCATCCCTCCACATAAATCCCCTCTTTCCCCCGTCAAATAACTTCATCTTCTACCCATACACTCTCCTCCTCCACCCTTCCTTCCCCTTTCTGTCAGCGCTCGGCTCTGCAGTGGGAATGAGATTAGAATGATTGAAACAAATGCACATGAAAAATTCATATGGAATAATAGGAGATCTGTGAATGGTGAGGATGCATGGTAATTCCATGACGCTACAACAATTAGGAAGGTGCAGTAAGGTTGCCACCAAGTCACAAATGAACGGTGTTACAATTAAGCTAGTAGAATGTAGATACGAGAAGTCGAGAGAGACTCGAGAGAGAGGGAGAGTGCACGGTCAGACGATAGAGATAGAGAGAGAATCAGCAGAGATCGAGTAGCGTTCGATAGTCGCCTACTCGATCTTCGTAGGCTCTATAGATCTCTCTTCATTCACGTCATCCACTCTCTATCTTCTAATCTCTCTTCTCTTCTCATCTCTCTCTCTCTCTCTCTCTCTCTCTCTCTCTCTCTCTCTCTCTCTCTCTCTCTCTCTCTCTCTCTCTCTCTCTCTCTCTCTCTCTCTCTCCCCCTCCAGGCCAAGTCAAGGTAGTGTTTGTTCTCTATAAGAACCTGGGCTCCTTCCTGTCTACGGAGAACGCCACGGTGAAGATGGAGCTGGAGGCGGCACCGGGGGAGCGAGGCTTGGCGGTCAACTCCCACATCATCGCCGCCTCCATCAATAAAGAGTCCAGCAGAGTGTTCCTCACTGAGCCGGTGGTGTTCACACTCAAACACTTACAGGTAAACACTTACAGATACATGTAATACGCTTACACACTTACAGATACATGTAATAAACTTACATACTTACAGATACATGGAATTCGCTTAGATACTTACAGATACATGGAATATGCTTACATACTTACAGATACATGGAATATGCTTACATACTTACAGATACATGGAATACACTTACATACTTACAGATACATGGAATACACAGCTCATAATAATGTCCGGAACGTAGCAGATGGAATTGCATCAAACACATGAAAACCATGTGTTTGATGTATTTGATACTATTACATTAATTCCACTCCAGCTATTACAATGAGCCAGTCCTCCCCAATTAAGGTGCCACCAACCTCCTGTGACTCACACACATACAGTCCCATACACACAATACACTCCCATACACACAATACACTCCCATACACACAATGCACTCCCATACACACAATACACTCCCATATACACAATGCACTCCCATACACACAATACACTCCCATACACACAATACACTCCCATACACACAATACACTCCCATACTCACAATACACTCCCATATACATAATGCACTCCCATACACACAATACACTCCCAGATACACAATACACTCCCATACACACAATACACTCCCATACACACAATCACTCCCATACACACAATACACTCCATACTACACAATACACCCCAATACAAATACACTCACATACCACAAACACCCATGCACTCCATACACACAATACACTCCCATAGACAATACACTCCCAAATACACACTACACTCACATACACACAATACACTCCCATACACACAATACACTCCAATATACACAATACACTCACATACAAATTACACTCACATACACTTGCATAAACATAAATGTACATTGACATAATGTACACATACAGGAGGTTAAACACTACACCACACACTGTACTGTAGTAGACAAACAAGGCCATTCACATACTGTATACACTGAGAACATCCAACACTACGTCCCCTACACTGTACACACTGTGCTGTAACTGTACACATGCATTACAATATATTTCACCTCTCACCTTTTCTCTCCCACATATTTGCCAACTGTCTATATATGCTGTATTTTCTTTCCCTGCCATCTGCTTGTACTGTATATGAAGATGTTTAAATGGATAGCAGCACTTTATGTTTCTTATTTATGTGTGTGTGTTATTATAAAGCCTGCGACAGAACCATTTACCTTGGGTCTCAAGAAAGTTAATTCAATTATCTCCACCCTCTCTCTATCCCCCCCCCCCCCCCCCCCCCCTCTCTATCTCTATCTCTCTCTCGCTCTCTCTCTACCTCTATCTCTATCTCTCTCTCTCTATCTCTATCTCGCTCTCTCTCTATCTCTATCTCTCTCTCTCTATCTCTATCTCTCTCTCTCTCTCTCTATCTCTCTCTCCCTCCAGTTGGAGAACCACTACAGTCCTAACTGTTCGTTCTGGAACTACTCGGAGCGGTCGATGACAGGCCAGTGGTCGTCTCAGGGCTGTAGACTGCTGGACACCAACAGCACACACACCACCTGCTCCTGTTCCCACCTCACCAACTTTGCTGTGCTCATGGCCCACCACCAGCCTGATGTAGGTCCAGTGGATATTACACACGTCCAAAAATGGATGTAGCAACTGCCCCTTTAAACTAAATAAAAACAATTAAAGTGGATGTGAAAACTAACTGAAACTAAACTGAATTTGAAAACAAATTCTTAAAACTAATAGATATAAAAATGTATATAAAAACACAAAACTATAATAACCTTGGCACACACACACACACGTACACACAAACACACACACACACACACTTACTCAAACTACTCTCCTTCAATCTCTCTCTCTCTTTATTTCTCCCTCCCACTCACTCTCACTTACAAATTCATGTCCTGCAACTCCGACTGACATTTACTTGAATTTGAATGTCATGTATTTTTTCAGGATGTCTCGTCTCCTTGTCTCTACATTTTAGCTGAATGTGAAAACATTTACAAATATAAAACTCTCTCTCTCACTCTCACCCTGTCCCTCCTTGTCTTTCTCCTTGTCTCCCATCGTTCCTACCTCCCATCCCTTTCCTCCCTATATCTCTCTCCCCCACCCAACCCCTCTTCCTCCCTCTCCACCCCCACCATTCCTCTCTCCACAGTACCCGGGGAGGATGCATGAGTTGATCCTGTTTGTGATCACCTGGGTGGGCATAGTGATCAGCCTGGTGTGCCTGGCTATCTGCATTTCTACCTTCTGCTTCCTGCGGGGCCTGCAGACCGACCGCAACACCATCCACAAGAACCTCTGCATCAACCTCTTCATCGCAGAGCTCCTCTTCCTTATCGGCATCGACAAGACCCAGTACCACGTGAGTAGGGGAGAGGAGAGGGACAGAGGGACATGTATCCTGGTCCCAGATCTGTTTTTGCTGTCTTGTTAAGTCATAAAGACATTGTCACATGGCATGTGAAAGAACTGATCTGGGGCCAAGCTAGGGGGCAAGTGCCTCGTACATGGAACACCTAATACAGGACAGAGAGACATGTGCCTCGTACATGGAACACCATTAGACAGACTAGAGGGGAAGTACTTTTCATTATGGACCATGAAAATGTAAAGGTCCTCCATTATGGGTCTTGAATGACCATATGCTGTCCTTTTCTGGATCTTACTCACCTTCCTTTGTTATTTTCCCTTTGTCTTTCACTCCTTTTCACCCCTCTATTTTAAAACTCTCTCTCTTTGTTTTCTTTCACTCTTTACTCTCCCTCTCGTTCTTTCTCTCTCTCACTCCCTGACCTCCCTCTGTCTCCCTCTCCTTTTTCCTTCTCTCTCTGTCTCTCAGATTGCCTGTCCGATCTTTGCTGGGCTGCTTCACTTCTTCTTCCTGGCTGCATTCTCCTGGATGTGTCTGGAGGGGGTGCAGCTCTATCTGTTGCTGGTGGAGGTGTTTGAGAGCGAGTACTCCCGCAAGAAGTACTACTACCTGTGTGGCTACTGCTTCCCAGCTCTGGTGGTGGGCATCTCGGCAGCTATAGACTACCGGAGCTATGGGACCAAGAAAGCGTACGTGTGAAGCAGTCCCTTTTCACCTGCAGATTGAGAGACAGGATTATACTAGTTTAGACTGCCTAGACTATTCCCCTAACTGGGAATGTAATATGGAGTGTAGTGTGAAGAGGATTGTTGTCTTCCCCCCCATGGACAACGGTTTTGAACAGAGTTAGCCAAAGTCTGCTGATTAGCTTCTATAAGATATCCTCAGAGACAGGGGATTTGTGTTTGTGATGTGTGTGTGTGCGTGCGTGTGTGCGCGCGTTTGAATGTGTATTTGAAGGGTATAACTGAATATTTTCCTATGTCCCATGTGTAGGTGCTGGTTGCGGGTGGATAACTACTTCATTTGGAGCTTCATTGGCCCTGTGTCTTTTGTTATTATGGTACAGTCATTCATTATGATGCTATTATGACCAACTATATTACAGTACTTGTCATTCAAGCTACTTACTTATTTACTTAAAAAATTAAGACCGGAGTGTGTTCTAGGATTCCAGTGAGGGTGTTGTAGAGGTGTGTAACCGTTGACCTCCCCCCCCCCCCCCCCCAGCTGAACCTGGTGTTCCTCATGATCACTGTGCACAAGATGACCCGCAACTCCTCCGCCCTCAAACCTGACTCCAGTCGCCTCGACAACATCAAGTGAGTCCCTCTCAGCAGAGGTTAGGAGTCAGTGAAGCCTCACAGGTCATGTGATCAGGGCATTGGCTGTATCAGTGAGACATGGATTGGAAATGGGAAATAATGAAGGTAATGCAGAATAATGTTTGTCATATTGTCCAGACTGGTCTCATAGACTAGAAGTAACATAGTAAATCTAAATCCGGGACACTTAAATTAGTATGATATGTTACATTTGGTATGGTTACATAAGACAGAAGGTTACTTAGGTAGGGTGGTTGGTCGGGGTTGATGGGTGGACAAATAACACAAATGTCTAGCAACCCAAAGGTTGCATATTTGAATCTCATCATGGACAACTTGAGCTAATTAGCAACTTTACAACTAGTTACTACTTTTTTAGCTACATTGCAACTACTTAGCATGTTAGCTTACCCTTCCCCTATCCCTAACTGTAACCCTTTTAACTAAACCTAACCTTAACCCTTTAACCTAACTCCTATCCTTAACCATAACCATAACCCCTAACCTCAAAGCTAGCTAACGTTAGCGTTAGCCACCTAGCTAACGTTAGCAACAACAAATTGGAATTCGTAACATATCACATGTTTTGCAATGATGGAGATCCACAAATGAAACCATACGAAACGTAACATATCATACTAAATTCAGTGTCTCGGATTTACGTACAGTATAATACGAAATGCTCTGAGACCACGTTATATTGTCATAACAATGAGTCATTTTCAAAACAGATATTCCTGGTAGTAGGTTCAAAGCCGGTACAGATGAGATATATGCACCTTAAGGTAAAACAGCCATGCTGGGTAGCGGGTTAGCTTCGGTCTGTGTGAGTGGTTTCATTGTGATGCTAAGCTAACGTTAGCATGCACTCTCCTCCCAGGTCGTGGGCTATTGGGGCCATCGCCCTGCTCTTCCTGCTAGGTCTGACCTGGTCCTTCGGCCTCCTATTCATCAACGAGAACACGGTCATCATGGCCTACCTCTTCACCACCTTCAACGCCTTCCAGGGCATGTTCATCTTCATCTTCCACTGCGCCTTGCAGAAAAAGGTAACTCAAACGCTCACATGTCTAAAAGTGACCTTTTCTATTGAGTAAACTAAGCATAACATTTTAAATAGACATGATGGAATATAATGACAATCTGCAGCCTGATTTATGTTGTTACTTTCCCTTATTAATGCCTGTGAGAAGGAGGTGATTATTTAACCTAATTTTAATTAAACAGGGTAATTATACATGGTACATCACTAGGTGCACTATTCAGAGCTCTGTCTATTTGAAATGTTAATTTGCTCAGAGCATGTGTGTCTTTGCGTGATGAAAATCTTGCCCTAAAAGGTCTGAGTCCATAAATTCAGAATGAGTGCGATATGTGTGTGTGTGTGCATGCAGGCGTGCGTGCGTGCTTGTGTATATTAGTAATGCGCGTGTTGACTCATAACCCGCAGTCCCCACGGTTATATCTGCAGGGTGGGTGGGTTTAGGGTCATGAAATATTGTGTGGCTGAAGGGCTGGTGGGTGGCGGGCAGGTTGAATAAAGAGAAACAGTACCTTAAAAATTCCATAAATGTATAATTATTGTGTAATTTATATTTATAGGCTACATTGAGGATTTTCTTTAATTGTTTTAGGCTATCTGGCATTAGTGTGTAAGCCTTAGGGCCTACCTGTACATGCATCTATAGCCTACATGCCAATCGCCAAATGCTTTTGGGAACGGGTAGAAAAAGTTCACTTCGATCCACGGAGGCAAAAAGAACAATGTCGGAGTTAATTCAGTAAGAGAAAAGCTGCGAAATGGAGAGTTGAAAATAAAGAGAAGGGAGGGCCAGAAAAGTCATGTTTGGGAAAGATTTGAAGTGGTAAAAGAGGATGATAGCAGTGCCGGCTATGTTATGTGTGATGCGGCAGGTAGCTTAGTGGGTAAGAGTGTTGTGCCAGTAGCCGAAAGGTCGCTGGTTCTAATCCCCGAGCCGACTAGGTGAAAAGTCTGTCGATGTGCCCTTAAGCAAGGCACTTAACCCTAAATGCTCCTGTAAGTCGCTCTGGATAAGAGCGTCTGCTAAATGACAAAAAAAAAATAAAAAAAAAAAATGCTTGTGAGGCGCTATACAAATTCGACAGTCATAAGACGAGTGTGCAAAACTGTCATCAAGGCAAAGGGTGGCTATTTGAAGAATCTCAAAAATAAAATATATTTTAATTTGTTTAACACTTTTCTGGTTACTACATGATTCCATGTGTTATTTCATAGTTTTGATGTCTTCACTATTATTCTACAATGTAAAAAATAAAGAAAAACCCTTGAATGAGTAGGTGTGTCCAAACTTTGGACTGGTAATGTATAATGACAGAAGAGAAGATGTATGTATCTAATTATAGACAAGATGACTAACTAACAGCCTACCAAATGTCGGAAAATATAAGCAGAAACATATCTAAATCAAGCAACAACAAAAAGTCCTGCACCCCCTGTCAAAAAATTGTTCTGCCATCTCTGACTGTAGCCTACAGCGCATTTTCTATATTAGCGGATTAGGGTCCGGTGCAGATTTTCACTTTATCACAGTCGGGCGGTTGTGGATGGGTTTTTAGCAATTTTGGGCAGGTGCGGGTGAAAATCAAATCAAATTGTATTGGCCACATGCGCCGAATACAACAGGTGCAGACATTACAGTGAAATGCTTACTTACAGCCCTTAACCAACAGTGCATTTATTTTTAATAAAAAAGTAAAATAAAACAACAACAAAAAAGAGTTGAGAAAAAAAGAGCAGAAGTAAAATAAAATAACAGTAGGGAGGCTATATATACAGGGGGGTACCGGTGCAGAGTCAATGTGCGGGGGCACCGGCTAGTTGAGGTAGTTGAAGTAATATGTACATGTGGGTAGAGTTAAAGTGACTATGCATAAATCATTAACAGAGTAGCAGCAGCGTAAAAATATGGGGTGGGGGGGGGGGCAGTGCAAATAGTCCGGGTAGCCATGATTAGCTGTTCAGGAGTCTTATGGCTTGGGGGTAGAAGCTGTTGAGAAGTCTTTTGGACCTAGACTTGGCACTCCGGTACCGCTTGCCGTGCGGTAGCAGAGAGAACAGTCTATGACTAGGGTGGCTGGAGTCTTTGACAATTTTGAGGGCCTTCCTCTGACACCGCCTGGTATAGAGGTCCTGGATGGCAGGAAGCTTGGCCCCAGTGATGTACCCTCTGTAGTGCTTTGCGGTCGGAGGCCAAGCAGTTGCCATACCAGGCGGTGATGCAACCAGTCAGGATGCAATCGATGGTGCAGCTGTAGAATTTTTTGAGGATCTGAGGACCCATGCCGAATCTTTTCAGTCTCCTGAGGGGGAATAGGCTTTGTCGTGCCCTCTTCACGACTGTCTTGGTGTGTTTGGACCATGATAGTTCGTTGGTGATGTGGACACCAAGGAACTTGAAGCTCTCAACCTGTTCCACTACAGCCCCGTCGATGAGAATGGGGGCGTGCTCAGTCCTCTTTTTTTCCCCTGTAGTCCACAATCATCTCCTTTGTCTTGGTCACGTTGAGGGAGAGGTTGTTATCCTGGCACCACACGGCCAGGTCTCTGACCTCCTCCCTATAGGCTGTCTCATCATTGTCGGTGATCAGGCCTACCACTGTTGTGTCGTCGGCAAACTTAATGATGGTGTTGGAGTCGTGCCTGGCCATGCAGTCATGGGTGAACAGGGAGTACAGGAGGGGACTGAGCACGCACCCCTGAGGGGCCCCCGTGTTGAGGATCAGCGTGGCAGATGTGTTGTTACCTACCCTTACCACCTGGGGGCGGCCCGTCAGGAAGTCCAGGATCCAGTTGCAGAGGGAGGTGTTTAGTCCCAGGATCCTTAGCTTAGTGATGAGCTTTGAGGGCACTATGGTGTTGAATGCTGAGCTGTAGTCAATGAATAGCATTCTCACGTAGGTGTTCCTCTTGTCCAGGTGGGAAAGGGCAGTGTGGAGTGCAATAGAGATTGCATCATCTGTGGATCTGTTGGGGCGGTATGCAAATTGGAGTGGGTCTAGGGTTTCTGGGATAATGCTGTTGATGTGAGCCATGACCAGCCTTTCAAAGCACTTCATGGCTACAGACGTCAGTGCTACGGGTCGGTAGTCATTTAGGCAGGTTATCTTAGTGTCCTTGGGCACGGGGACTATGGTGGTCTGTTTGAAACATGTTGGTATTACAGACTCAGTCAGGGACATGTTGAAAATGTCAGTGAAGACATTTGCCAGTTGGTCAGCACATGCTCGGAGTACACGTCCTGGTAATCCGTCTGGCCCTGCGGCCTTGTGAATGTTGACCTGCTTAAAAGTCTTACTCACATCGGCTACGGAGAGCGTGATCACATAGTCATCCAGAACAGCTGGTGCTCTCATGCATGCTTCGGTGTTGCTTGCCTCGAAGCGAGCATAGAAGTGGTTTAGCTCGTCTGGTAGGCTTGTGTCACTGGGAAGCTCGCGGCTGTGCTTCCCTTTGTAGTCTGTAATAGTTTTCAAGCCCTGCCACATCCGACGAGCGTCAGAGCCGGTGTAGTACGATTCAATCTTAGTCCTGTATTGACTCTTTGCCTGTTTGATGGTTCGTCAGAGGGCATAGCAGGATTTCTTATAAGCGTCCGGGTTAGAGTCCCGCTCCTTGAAAGCGGCAGCTCTACCCTTTAGCTCAGTGCGGATGTTTCCTGTAATCCATGGCTTCTGGTTGGGGTATGTACGTACGGTCACTGTGGGGACGACATCATTGATGCACTTATTGATGAAGCCAGTGACTGATGTGGTGTACTCCTCAATGCTATCTGAAGAATCCCGGAACATGTTCCAGTCTGTGCTAGCAAAACAGTCCTGTAGCTTAGCATCTGCGTCATCTGACCACTTTTTTATTAACCGAGTCACTGGTGCTTCCTGCTTTAGTTTTTGCTTATAAGCAGGAATCAGGAGGATAGAGTTATGGTCAGATTTGCCAAATGGAGGGCGAGGGAGAGCTTTGTATGCGTCTCTGTGTGTGGAGTAAAGGTGGTCTAGAGTTATTTTTTCCTCTGGTAGCACATTTAACATGCTGGTAGAAATTAGGTAGAACGGATTTAAGTTTCCCTGCATTAAAGTTCCCGGCCACTAGGAGCGCTGCCTCTGGATGAGCGTTTTCCTGTTGACTTATGGCCTTATACAGCTCATTCAGCTGACTCGCGCTTACTAGTGTGTATGTATGCGTGTCTACTGCTTACATGCGTGTGTCTAACCCATGTTTGCCCTCTCTCTCCATTCAGGTCCATAAGGAGTACAGTAAGTGTCTGCGTCACTCATACTGCTGCAGCCGTACCTCCACCACCAGCTCCCACGGCTCCCTGAAGAACTCTGCCCTGCGTGCCAACAACCGCTACTACACTGGTAGCCAGGCCCGCCATGCTGCCGCACACAGACAGGTCAGTGAATGGCTATCACACACACCACACAGACAACACACACACACCACACACACAACACACACACACCACACACACAACACACACACACCACACACACGTGCATGCATGCATGCATGCACAGACTCTAAGGGACCACATGCTTACATGGGTACACCCACAGACCACATCATGCCATACACAAACTCACAGATTACGGGTACACGCACCAATCTACAAAGTGTAGGCCTATCCCATACTTAATTATTTTTGACAACACTCCAAACACACACACACAAGCTATGTTGACACACCAGCTATCACACGCTTCACAAATCTAATCAGAAACCTTCATCTCTATTGGATCAGACTCCAATTATTGTTTACCACGTCTCAATCTGATGTTGTTTGCCTGTGTGCATTAACTTGTTTATGTTAGTATGCCTCACAGAGTTACAGTATCATATCATATTGTTTATTCCTGTCTGTATGTCTGTCTGTCTGTCTGTCTGTCTGTCTGTCTGTCTGTCTGTCTGTCTGTCTGTCTGTCTGTCTGTCTGTCTGTCTGTCTGTCTGTCTGTCTGTCTGTCTGTCTTGTTTTTCTTCACTGTGTGCTTCTCTTCTCCGGCGTTCCAGAGTCGGATCCGCAGGATGTGGAATGACACGGTTCGGAAGCAGACGGAATCTTCCTTCATGGCGGGAGACATCAACAGTACTCCTTCACTCAACCGTGGTGAGACCCCCCCACCACCTTAACCCCTCTCTAACCCCCCTGCTGTCTCCCTCTCCAATCACGCACACCTCTATGGCAGGCTCATCAGGACAGACAGACAGACAGACAGACAGACAGACAGACAGACAGACAGACAGACAGACAGACAGACAGACAGACAGACAGACAGAATGAAGTAGGAGCACCGCTGAGTCTACTGTCAGAGAGAGAGAGTAAGGAAGAGGTGCCAGTGTACATTGACACAAGCAATAGCCTGAGCAGACGGTGGCATACCATCGCCGTGGCAGCCATCGTCATGGGGATCAGAATTATCTGGGAGGGAGGGAGGGAGGGAGGGAGGGAGGGGAGAGTTGATGATGACAAAGAGGTAGTCGCTAAATCAACCGTCACTCTTTATGTTAATTTCATCAATTTTGTTTTAATGAACTGATTAGCGTACGAGCTGGCTGGGGGTAATTAGTCTTATTGAGGAGAGTGACAGGAACGGTGAGGGAGGGGGTGCGAGGAGAGGAGGAGAGTAATAGGAGAGGAGGGGAGGGGAAGGAGATTTGCTTTCCTGGGACTGACATCATGGAGGAAAAAGTATACACTGAGTATACCAAACATTAGAAACACCTTCCTAATATTGACTCTTCAAGGTGTTGAAAGCATTCCACAGGAATGATGGCCCATGTTGACTCCTATGCTTCCCACTATTGTGTCAAGTTGGCTGGATGTCCTTTGGGTGGTGGACCATTCTTAATAAACACGGGAAACTGTTGAGCGTGAAAAACCCAGCAGCGTTGTAGTTCTTGACACAAACTGCTGCGCCTTGCACCTACTACCATACCCCGTTAAAAGGCACTTAAATATTTTGTCTTGCCCGTTCACCCTCTGAATGGCATACATACACTATCCATGTATCAATTGTCTGAAGGCTTAAAAGTCCTTCTTTAACCTGTCTCCTCCCCTTCATCTACACTGATTGAAGTGGATTTAACAGGTGACATCAATAAGCTTTCACCTGGATTCACCTGGTCAGTCTATGTCATGGAAAGATCAGGTGTTCTTAATGTTTTGTATACTCAGGAAGAAGGGATGAAGAGAGGAGAAGGGATAGGTGAAGGACGGATAGAGGAGGGATAGAGCTAGAGGGAGAAACACAAAACAAAGGCACTGCCAAGTGAAGTCCTTTCTTTTCCCGAGCGTTTGAGAAAAGTTTGTCATTGTTGGCAGAAAGCGAAAGATGGCAGCTCCATTCGAGAGACAGAGAGAAAGAACGAGAGAGTGAGAAATAAAGAGAAGGAGAGACGCTATCATGGAGCAATAATTAAATGGGACGAATCTCGGCGAGAGCCGCAGTCTTCGTTGTTATCGCTGGCATCTCTTATCTCTTTGATTTCCCCACTTAACTTCTTTATCAACTTGTTTCTCTTCAGACAATAGTGATCTGTCCAGGAGACAAGGCGTGATGAGGCTTCCTCCTCTCTGAATGAAGCTCCCCAGCTTCCTCATGCCTGCCCTACTTTCTCTCTCCAACACTTAAAAGTTGTTGTTTTTAAATTGTTGACAGGATATTCCTCCGAGGTGTTTCTGGACAGCTAATCCTGAGTAATTTGGTGTTTGTGTGGAGAGAGACAGGGATGAGGGAGAGAGAGAGAGAGAGAGAGAGAGAGAGAGGGAATAAAAGAGTGACTGTGTGCGTGAGGTAGAGAGCAAGAGAAAGAGCAGGAAAGTAAGAATTGGAGAGTGAGTGAATGAGGGAGTTGATGGGTGAATGAACGAACAAAGAAATGAATGAATGTGAGTGTTTTAGTGTGAAATTCTCTCTGTGAATTTCTCTCTTTCTCATTGTCTCTGTGATAGATGGTTTGGTTGAGACCTGATGGTTGCACTTCGCCATAGACCACTCTCCGTCATGCTGTCCTATTTTTAATTTCATGGCATTTCTATTCGACCGCCTGGGGCTGAAGCCATACATGGGCATTATAGAACATTCTCAATGTTCCATTTCTTTGAATTATATTTGTCTAAAGGTGGCATTCGCATTTCACTGTGAAATGAACTGTGTTTCAATGACTGCACCCTCTGACTACGTAATGATATGCATTAGTATTCCCCCTTCAACGACGTTGGAAGATACAGAACAATATTCCAAATGGCAACGCTGCCTACAAACAGCACCTTTCCACTGAAAATGTATTTTACTCAAAGGTTACAATAGCAAGGTATAAACATTCAGGGGTGTACTGTGAAATGCATTACCCTGTAAAACATTACTGTGACATAAATATCCCTATCGATTTGAATATGAATGTAACATATTTTTGAATAAACTGTAAATGGCCTGTATTACTATGTATAATGTTTATTATGTATTATATTTATGTATTTTAATTATATTGTCTATTATAGTTTTGTATTATCATATCAAATGTTGTTAATATACCAAAACAAACCTAACAAGATGTTCATGGTAAAGTAGATGTTTATGATAAAGTGGATGTTTATGGTAAAGTGGATGTTTATGGCAAAGTAGATGTTTATGGTAAAGTAGATGTTTATGATAAAGTTAATGTTTATGGTAAAGTCGATGTTTATGGTAAAGTAGATGTTTATGGTAAAGTCGATGTTTATGGTAAAGTCGATGTTTATGGTAAAGTCGATGTTTATGGTAGAGTCGATGTTTATGGTAAAGTAGATGTTTATGGTAAAGTCGATGTTTATGGTAAAGTCGATGTTTATGGTAAAGTCGATGTTTATGGTAAAGTAGATGTTTATGGTAAAGTAGATGTTTATGTTTTATGATGTTGTCTCCTCTTAGCCACCATGGGAAACCACCTCCTGACCAACCCAGTGTTACAGACCCGTACCGGCACCTCTCCTTACAACACCCTGCTGGCTGAGAGCTTCACTCCCCCTTCTCCTGGGGTCTTCAACTCCACCGGTAAGTAAACCTCAGTGTGTTTGTGTGTGTGTGTGTGTGTGTGTGTGTGTGGTGTGTACGTGTACGTGTGTATGTGCGTAGTGCGTGTGTGAACATATATTTTCTTATTTTTTGCATATAAATATTTTTCTGTTTGTTAGCCTTTTTCTGCCTCATTGTGTGTGGAGGTAGGAAAGAGTGTGTGTGTTTCACTGGTGGTGAGTCTATGTATCTGTCAGACGGATTCAGCAGTAGAGAGAGAGAGAGACGTGCCTATTGCCTAGCCATCTGGCCAGGTCTCTAATCCTGCCTTGTTGATATGAAGAAGCAGAAATGGATTAGAAGTAAAGCTTCATCTGTGACTGAAGGAGAAATCTTGGGGACAGCTTCCCTTCTCAGACTCTCCCCGGATTATATGTGTTATATACAGTTGTAATGCTGTAATAATGCACTGAGAACAGCAGCAGACAGCAGTGGCTAGAGTAATTGGGACAGTGGACTCCATTCAGATTCATTTATCTGATTTGTTAGTAGTAGAGCAATCTAGAATACTCTCATAGTACTGTAGGTCTTAAGTAGTAGAGCTATCCAGAATACTCTCATAGGACTGTAGGTCTTAAGTAGTAGAGCTATCCAGAATACTCTCATAGTACTGTAGGTCTTAAGTAGTAGAGCAATCTAGAATACTCTCATAGTACTGTAGGTCTTAAGTAGAAGAACTATCCAGAATACTCTCATAGTACTGTAGGTCTTAAGTAGTAGACCTATCCAGAATACTCTCATAGTACTGTAGGTCTTAAGTAGTAGACCTATCCAGAATACTCTCATAGTACTGTAGGTCTGAAGTAGTAGAGCTATCCAGAATGCTCTCTCTGTCCTCCCTCCTCTCTATCTCTCCTCTATCTGTGTGCTCCGTCCCTGACTGAGAGTGAGTGTGCCAGCCAGTAGAGAGTTACTATAGTAGCAGCCCACTGTGTGTCGTCGTAGAGGCCTGAAATTGTAGACAGCGTCTCTGTTTAATAATTTAAACACTCTCTGCACAATGCGTCAGGCAGCCTGACGGCCACAGGCTCCGGCTCAGCAGCGGCGGGGACATTTTTAGAACCCTGAGAGGAGAGGAAGTAGGAAGTGTACTTCATTAGAATGTCTAATTAGCCCTTCCCCCACCACCACCGCCATAGCAACCGCCGACGAGTCTTGATTAAAATCATACCACGCATTAAAAATTAAACCCACACCGAGCCGCAGTCTAACGCGGATTCTCTTAGGGTAGCCAGGCCTCGCCATGCCTCTCGTCTTGATGTGATCGCTCTGTGATGGCAATTTGGGGGTGAAATCACAACATCTTTTGGTGTGTTGAAAGGCGCGTCGTAAAATAAGCATTACTGCTACTTCATGAAATGGTGGTGCATGCATTATGGATGCACTGAATCACAGGCTCGCAGACAGCAGAATATATCCCAGTGGATTCTCTGTGTGTCTGTGTGTGTGTGTGTGTGTGTGTGTGTGTGTGTGTGTGTGTGTGTGTGTGTGTGTGTGTGTGTGTGGTGTAAATGATGGTGGATTATCATGTCAAAACTACAAGTTGTGTGTTTGTTTATGAGGCAGTGTGTGTTTGTGTGCCTGTGTTTTATTAATGATTTATAGATGATTTACACTAGTTGACTGACAGGAGGTTCAGTTTTGAAGCCACCGCGCCTCCATCTTGGCACACACCCACCGTTGTAATAAAAGTATTTTGGAAGCTATAGAAATGCATTTATTAATGTCTACATTTGTTTTTGCCACGTGTATTATATTACAGTCACCTTATTGCATACTTTTACATTATATTATGTGAGCTAAACATATATATAATTTTTTGTTCTAACATTACTGTCCCCACTACAACAACAAAATACTTAAAAATACATGTAATTTTGTCCGTGAAACATTGAATTGAAATACTGGAAAATTCCATTCATTCCTATGAAGGACTGCTTCATCTGGGGAGTGCCAATATGGCCGACCGGTGGCTTCAAAGCCTCTTACTGGCTAATACATTGGTTTGTACAGTGCCTTCGGAAAGTATTCAGAACCCCTTGACTTTTTTCCACATTTTGTTAGGTTACAGCCTTATTCTAAAATTGATTAAATGTTTTTTTTCCCTCATCAATCTACACACAATACCCCATGATGACCAACTAAAATTAGGTTTTTAGAAATGTTTACATAACTATTCAGACACTTTACTCAGTACTTTGTTGAAGCACCTTTGGCAGCGATTACAGCTTCGAGTCTTCTTGGGTTTGACGCTACAAGCTTGGCACACCTGTATTTGGGGAGTTCCTCCCATTATTCTCTTCAGATCCTCTCAAGCTCTGTCGGTTTAGATGGGGAGTGTCGCTGCACAGCTATTTTCAGGTCTCTCCAGAGATGTTCGATCAGGTTCAAGTCCGGGCTCTGGCTGGCAAGGACATTCAGAGACTTGTCCCGAAGCCACTCCTGCGTTGTCTTGGCTGTGTGCTTAGGGTCGTTGTCCTTTTGAAAGGTGAACCTTCGCCCCAGTCTGAGGTCCTGAGCGCTCTGGAGCAGGTTTTCATCAATGATCTCTCTGTACTTTGCTCCATTCATCTTTGCCTCGATCCTGACTAGTCTCCCAGTCCCTGCCGCTGAAAAACATCCCCCCAGCATGATGCTGCCATCACCATGCTTCACCATAGGGATGGTGCTAGGTTTCCTCCAGACGTGACGCTTGGCATTCAGGCCAAAGAGTTCAATCTTGGTTTCATCAGACCAGAGAATCTTGTTTCTCATGGTCTGAGAGTCATTAGGTGCCTTTTGGCAAACTCCAATTGGGCTGTCATGTGCCTTTTACTGAGGAGTGGCTTCCATCTGTCCACTCTACCATAAAGGCCTGATTGGTGGAGTGCTGCAGAGATGGTTGTCCTTCTGGAAGGTTCTCCCATCTCCACAGAGGAACTCTAGAGCTCTGTCAGAGTGACCATTGGGTTGTTGGTCACCTCCCTGGCAAAGGCCCTTCTCCCCAATTGCTCAGTTTGGCCAGGCGGCCAGCTCTAGGAAGAGTCTTGGTGGTTCAAAACTTCTTCCATTTAAGAATGATGGAGGCCACTGTGTTCTTGGGGACCTACAATGCTGCAGAACTTTGTTGGTACCCTTCCCCAGATCTGTGCCTCAACACAATCCTACAGACAATTCCTTCGACCTCATGGCTTGGTTTTTGCTCTGACATGCACTGTCAACTGTGGGACCTTATATAGACAGGTGTGTGCTTTTCCAAAACATGTCAAATCAATTGAATTTACCACAGGTGGATTCCAATCAAGTTGTAGAAACATCTCAAGGATGATCAATGGAAACAGGATGCACCTGAGCTCAATTTTCGAGTCTCATAGCAAAGGGTCTTAATACTTATGTAAATAAGGTATTTCAGTTGTTCAGTTTCAGTTGCAAAATGTGGAAAACGTCAAGGGGTCTGAATACTTTCCGAAGGCACTGTATACTTGTTTGAGTGGTTTGTTTCTTGTTTGATGATGTGTTCTCTTGTTAGTCTTTATCATAGCAATAAAAGCTATTGCTTGTAGAGAGAGGGGGTGAGAGAGGGAGAGCAAAATAGATCGACAGAGAGAAAGAGAGTGATGAAAGAGGTGGAGTGAAAGTGACTCACTCACCAGTATTTTTCATTCCCTTCTTTGTGGCTTCTCCATGGATCTACAGGAACCTTCCGTGACCCAAGTATGTCCACGTCTATAAACCTTAATGTTACTATCAGTGTGTATTATAGTGTTTGCTGTAGATACTACACAAATATTACATTTTCTCCAAATAATGTAATGTTTAAGTCATAATTCTATTTAATAACTCCTATGTGTTGTGTGTACTGTGTGTTTGTCCAGAGAATACTCTGTGTAAGGCCCGTGACCCGTGTGGTATGGACACCCTGCCCCTCAATGGTAACTTCAACAACAGCTACTCCCTCCGCAGCGTGGGGCCGGGGGGCGGCGGCGGGGGCAGCTGTGACTTCCTGGGCGGGGGCATGGGGGGTGCAGACAGCCCCCCTCCACTCCTCAACCCCCGCGGATCTGAGACCCTGGGTGGGGACGGAATACGGCGCAACCTGTCTGACGCGGCTGCCTTCGAGAAGATGATCATATCTGAGCTGGTCCACAACAACCTGCGTGGGGGAGGAGCTGGGGGCGGGGATAGGGTCTGTGGTAGTCTCGCAAGGGGCCCTCCTCACGGCGGAGTGGGCCGAGGCGGGGGAGTAGCTGTGCCAGAGCCGAGCATCAGCCTGGACGACAATGAGGACTTCCTGTCCAGAGAAGGCGGGCGCCAGCGGACGCCGCAGGACGTGGAGCTGCTCTACAAAGCCCTGGAGGAGCCGCTGCTGCTGCAGAGAGCCCAGTCTGTCCTGTACCAGTCTGACCCCGAGGAGTCAGAGAGCTATACGGCTGACCTCACAGAGAGCCTGGGCCACAGCGGCCACAGTGGGCACAGCGCCGGAGGCCAGGGGTCTGGGGGACAGGGGCCTGACTCGCCCTGCCAGGGACTCCCTGTACACCAGCATCACCAACCTGCGAGACTCGCCCTACCCAGACAGCAGCCCCGAGCCCCTGGAGGTGGTGCCCCGCTCGGCCCAGCCCCCTGAGGAGCTCTATTACAGCTCTGGGAGGCCCGCCCTGGGGTCTCGAGGAGCCCCCATGCAGACCTTCTACCAGGCCCCGCCCCCCAGGAGGCCCAGTAGGGAGGGGGAGGGGCACCCCGGCCAGGAGCCCGCCCACAGCGAGGGAGATGGACAGATGCAGCTGGTCACCAGCCTGTGACTGGAACCGGGAGGACGCGGACGGGGACCAAGATGATGAGGATGAGGATGAAGGCTGGCTGGTTGCCACCTCAGAAACCCGCCTCTCTCTCTTTCTCTCGCTCCTCTCCACTTCCTGCTTGATGGGTTGCCTTTTTTCCCTCTTTATTTGTATTGAAAGATGAGCGAACAAATTTACATTTAAGGAGAGTTTTAGCTGTCTCCACGGCAACAGTCTTATCCTAGAGACCCTCCGCTGTCTGGTGGAGATGAACGATGGCTGAGTTGTTCTTCTCCGGAACATTCACCCGCTCTCTCCTTCTCTCTCTTCTATATCCCCCTTTCTCTTGGCACGCAGCAGACAGATGCCAAGTCCAGCACTCTGAATGTACCAATCCAACAAACCCCTTATACCTTACTCCTACAGAGCTACAGATATTTCTCAACTTAACTTTGTTCAAAGTTATTTTTATTTAATTTCACTGAATTTCTACAAACATTCCTCTAGAGAAACGGTTCTCATTTTCTTTCCCTTTTTCAAGTTCTATCTCTCTTTTTGTTCACTCATCATTTGCTCGGCGTAGTTAGCTGTGGAGGCAGGGGATATACTGTAGTAGCCCATTATACCATAGGAAAAGAATCTCTGAAAGCTACTTCAGTGTTGCCAAAAATACATTTTCCCAGCCAGAACAGAAACTGGAGCATTCACACACACACACAAACATACACACACACACATGCTCACTCACTCACAGAAGTGCTTGTTTCTGAACATCAGACGTTTAAAAAAAACCACAACCCTCCATCTGAGTAAAAAGAAGCCAGAACAATTGTTCAGACAAGGCAGTAGGAGCTGCCTCAGAGTAGTTGCCTTTATTTTATCTTGCTGTGAACTGACTCTTATGTACAGAACTAGAGGAGAGACTGAGGAAGTACACCACAGGACAAGAAGTCTGTTTGAGGGGTCAAGGGTCAGGGTTCAAGAGGTGGATATTTAGGACTCGAGGAACGGACAATGACTTTTTGGGGCGGGAGGGCTTTTTTGTTATTTTCTTCAGACATTTGAAAAGTAAAACTCTGCTGTACTGACTTTGGAGAAGAATATGTTATATTGGTGACTTTCTGTTGCATCACCCAGAGGGTTATTAAGGGACAGATCGTGCACCCTTTAAGAATGGATGCCCTCCTCAATGGATGTGGACACGTCACCTGTGTGTGGTTGTGACAGAATGGACTCTAAATGTAGGAATCACTTCAGCCGTTACTCAAGTCTAACCCTGTACATATGAACCACACAAACTAAAGTACTTACTCTACTCCTACCTGTAAATAGAAAAACCAGATGAAGAAAAGCAACAAAAACGTAAGAAATACTCAAAACTGACTTCTTGTACTGCAACAAAACGACAAAAGAAAATAAGAAAATGTTTTGGAGTTTGTGACCAGAATGATGCACTCTATCTCTCTCCCCGGCATTCTTTCTCTCGCTCTCTCACTGTCCTTCTCCTGAGTCCTGACTAGTGCTCTGCCATTCAGTGAAAATCTCTCAAACAGAAAAACAGAGAGAGAGAAAGAGTATGATGGGTGGTAGATTTTGCATACAAATAAAAAAGTTTAAAAAATAAAAATAAAGTCCTGGCACAATTTTATGTAATATAATCCATTACATGTTGTTAATGTTTGACCTTTGACATTCCCGGACAAGAAGTGCTCAGTGTAGGCGGGGGGGGGGATAGATGTCATAATAACCTGTCATACTGTGCCTCATCACGGGCGCTCCAATGCATTGTGGTTCAAGGACAGCAGCCATAATGTGATTTTGGTCAGTAATGTATTGTTTGAAAGGTTATATCCTAGATATAACTAGATTACATCATTTTAATATGATGGGTTTTAGCATGTCAGATAGCATTTGTTTTCTATCAAAACGTCTTTCATTTTGCTGTTTCTAACAGATAGTTTCAGCATTATTCCAGAGCCTAATGTGACAATTAATTCCCTATGTGCGTGTGTGTGTGTGAGAGCGTGCGTGTGTGAAAGAGTTTGTGTGTGTGCGTACATGTGCAGGAGTGTGTGTGTACATGTGAGTGTGTGATATGCTCAAGCATATGTACCATATTCGTGTGAATTTTGTAAGTGTGTACATTCAAAAAGCTATTTTTGTTGGGTGAATTGAATGCACATCAGAGGAAGGGGATAGTAATTCTATATCTATGAGAAAGCCTATTATAATATTAGCTTCCATCTCAAAGACAAGGGTAGCCAGCTGCTTCTGTGTGGCTGTTTCTGAGAGTTCAGGTACCAATGTATAACTGGGAGACTTCAGGCTGCCTCACAGGAACTTGAGCAAGGAACAATGACAGGGTTTGTCTGAAATGGCACCCTATTCCCTATATAGTGCACTACTAACCAGGGCCTCCCTATGTAGTGAACTACTGACCAGGGCCTCCCTATGTAGTGAAATACTGACCAGGGCCTCCCTATGTAGTGAACTACTGACCAGGGCCTCCTTATGTAGTGAACTACTGACCAGGGCCTCCCTATGTAGTGAACTACTGACCAGGGCCTCCCTATGTAGTGAACTACTGACCAGGGCCTCCTTATGTAGTGAACTACTGACCAGGGCCTCCCTATGTAGTGAACTACTGACCAGGGCCTCCCTATGTAGTGAACTACTGACCAGGGCCTCCCTATGTAGTGAACTACTGACCAGGGCCTCCCTATGTAGTGAACTACTTTTGACCACAGCCCTATGCGAACAAAGTCAGAACTTGGAACAAAGACACATGCTGTGTCCAAAATGGCACCATAGTGCACTACTTTTGACCAGGGCAAAAGTTGTACACTATGTTGGGTGTGGGGTGCCATTTCAGACACAGACAGTACCGTCAGAATGACAGGCAGAGTTGACCGATGGGACCATCCAGTCAGAATGTGACGTTTCCGTATGAAAGCGATTCCAGAGAGAAACCATCCATCAAACCAGAGACGTATTCATGAGGTTCCTTCCCCCTAAAGTCTCTCCCAACCTTAAAAAGCTGAGTTTTGCCTTCACGCCTTATTTATGTATTTTTCTAATGCTTTATTTATCTCTATATTTATTTATGTATTTGAATATTTTTCTATAATATTTTATTCTGTTCATTTATTCATGCTTTATTTTAAATTTTTCAAGATCTCTCTGTCTGTACATAGCTGAGCTGTGAGAAGGGAATTCTGAAGGAAGCACATTACAATGTGCTGTATGTTTAGGCAAGTAGATGGATTCTCCAGCGTCCACTTCAGGGTGACATTTGGTTAGGGCCTGGGTGTCCCACTTCTTCCTAAAGGGCACATTGAATTTAGTTGTGGGTCTTGGGGGAGAAAGAGAAGGATTGAGAGGCAGGATAGAATGAAGAATATATTAGATTTTTCCTCCATTTCGTCTTGGGAGAGGAATATCTCTTAGTTCAGACTCAGATAGGAGGTCCTGTCATCAGCATCCCAGGTATTCTAAAGGAGACGTGTGCAATACTGTGCTGGTGTGTCTGACTTGATTTAACGTTGGAATGGGCCTGGTTGGGTGGTGCTACTATAGGCCTACCACTGGACCGCTGTGTATGGACAGTATCTGTGTTTACAGAAGGATCCGATCATTATGCACATTTTCTTTTGCTTGTTATTGGAAATATTAATAAATTTTGGTCTTGCAGCTCATAGTTAATTCAATAGGAGCATTGACCGGTCAGCAATGGCCAATTGAATGTATTTTGATTAGAAGGATTAAAGAAAAGTGAATTAATGCCTACACTGACCGCCATCATCATCATTATCATCATCACCCTCCTACACCTTTATTGATGTGATCTATAAAGTTGATCTTAACGCTCAGCTGGTGACCTCACAGGACACAGACACTGTGTACAGACAGACTCACCAGGAGGGGAAGAACCTGAATCACCATCTCCTGTGTGTTTCTCACCCTACTCTATGCACTCTCTCTCTCTCTCTCTCTCTCTCTCTCTCTCTCTCTCTCTCTCTCTCTCTCTCTCTCTCTCTCTCTCTCTCTCTTCCTCTCTCTTTCCTCCCCTCTCTCAAACTCTTCCATCTTATTCCACCAATTGATTCTCTTTTAGCCCAGCATTAATCAAAGAGTATTGTTTGGAGTTAATTTGTTTGTCTAAAGCTTTGTTTACACCAGATTGATATCTCAATAAACAGTGGAGCCGTACTGTATTGTGGTAATGATAGTGATTATACAGCAGAAAGTGCTGTAGGACCCAGAGCCCTGCTCAATGGGAGTTTCACCCCCATCTAAATCCCTCTGTTACCTCTGATTAGGATAATAACACTGGCTAATCATTTACTGGGCAGAGACCACAGAGGGAGAAACCTCTCTACACACGCTCTCTCTCTCTCTCTCTCTCTCTCTCTCTCTCTCTCTCTCTCCTCTCTCTCTCTCTCTCTCTCTCTCCTCTCTCCTTCCCCTCACTCACTCTCTCTCCCTCTCTCTCTCTCCCTCTCTCTCTCTGTCTCTCTCTCTCTGTCCTTCCCCCTCACTCTCTCTCTCCTTCCCCCCCTCTCTCTCTCTCTCGCTCGCTCTCCCTCTCGCTCCTTCCCCCTCACTCTCTCTCTCTCTCTCCCTATCTCGCTCTCTCTCTCGCTCTCTCTCTCTCCTTCCCCACACTCAATTCAATTCAATTCAATTCAATTCAATTCAATAGACTTTATTGACATGGCAAGTAAAATTACTTACATTGTCAAAGTATACATATAACAAAAATGGTGGGACCAACAGCAATAATAATAGTAGTAGTGGAAATGGGATTACCATTAACAGCAACTACAACAACAATATTAATGAGAATAACAATACATTAAAGCAATAGTAGTCGACCAATCTCAACATGACTGAGAAGACACATTACATTCTATGAAAGCCAAAACAAAACAGGAAATATTATTGACATTACATTACACTTTTCACTGGCTGTCCCTCAGGTTGTGGCAGGAGGACACATATTTGGCTGCCAAAAT